AAAAAAAAAAAAGATTATCTAGAAACATTGTAAAGTATCCACGGCAACAAAATTTCTGGGTTAAATCCAATAATATATCCTCTTAGCCTATTTTTCTCTTAATATGACCTTAATATCACCATTTCTCAAGTGTACCATCATTCCTTGTACAACCTCAGTATGTTCTAAGATATATTCCTTGTACAACTTCAATGTTTAACAATTTTTTAAAATAATATTTAATATTCCTTATTCAACCTCATACGTTGTCCAACTAGGGACGTAGATTCATATTAACTGTCAAAATTCAGTCTGGACAGGATGGTACTAAGTATATTTAGAAAAAATAAACAAACTATAACATTATTCAAATAATCTGGCTTTTCTTAACCAAAAATCTATGAAGTTGCTATTGAGTTTTCTAACTTTAATTGGTAGCAAGTAGTAAAACATTTTTTTAAACCATGAATACCAGGAAAAAAATCACTTTATTCACTATAATGTAGACTTTTCCATGCTAATTTATTTCTGTAATCTCCATGTGAACAGTGTTAGTTTTTACTGAGTGGCCTTTGTTAGTTCAGCTCTGACATATCATTGCAGAGAACATTTCCTCTTTTGATTGCCTAACACTACCTTACAAGATATTTTCCCTACAGAGGATGGATGTGTTTACTTTCATAAAATCTTATACAAAGTTCTTGATTTTGAAGTAGACTTGTAACTCAATATTGCTTGTGAAAGAAATATAACACTGGTACAGTTAGCAGAATGGAAGAAATGTGAAATATTAGATATAGCACAAGAAAATGAGATTTTGAAAGATGTGAAGAATTTTGTTTCTAAATGTGTTTTGAGAGGAAATAATGCTTAAATATTCAGAAATGTTTTGAATATAAAGAGAAGCAAAATTCCACCTAAAGAAACCTAAAATTTCAAAAACGAGTCAGCCTTTTCCACAAGTATTTACCATCTCATGTCCTTTGATGACCTCAATTATGTCCATGATTCCCAAATCTATCAACTTTAATTAAATTTTTCTCCAAACCTAAAAATCCAAGAGCCTTTGAATATTTCAATATTTCACCTACATATCCCAAAGACAATTCAAACTCAACATGTCAATAACTTTCCTTTGTAAGGCTGTTCTAGTTCCTGTTTCTTCCTTCACACATAGGAATTATCCATGTGATTCTTAAGCCAGAAACCACACCTTGTTAATTTTACTTCCTTAAGAGACCTATTTCTCTCACTGATACTCCTACTATTCTAATATAGGTCTCAACACTGTTTTCTTAACTAGTGTCCCTGTCACTATTCTCATTTCCCTATAATCCATCTCTCATATAAATGTTAAAATGCCAGAATATTTGTTATAAAATAAATACCTAATTGTAACATTTCATTATCATTATTTCAGTGACCCTCTATATCCACGAAGACAGAGCTCACACTAAACATCACATGTACTTTTATGATTTTTCCTTATCTATCCCATCTCTTCATATAGCTATATCTATATCCCATCTTTTCATATATATCTCTTCATATATCTAAATCTGTATACATAGATCATATATCTATATAGATAGATGAAGAGATGGGATATATACATATATATACACACACACACATACATGCACTGTAAGGCTGCAATTAGCATCATAGCAGAGAAGGGACTGTCTGCCTATCCCATCTTTTCTTTGCCCTCCCATATGTATCTCTCTACAACCTGTTCTCTGGCCAGGGAAAACTATCAGGAAGTGTCATGAAATTCTCTCATGAAAGCCACTGGACTCTCACTTAAGCTGTTCAACCTGTCTGGATCACCCGTTCTCATTGTCTTCTTCCCCTAAATATTCTCCTGACTACTATCTAGTCATTTTTCAGGGGAGTCCAGGCACCATCACTTACTTAATGGAAGGTTTTTCCAGACCTTCCTCCTCCCTTAACCCAATTCCCAGGCTGAATCACGTGTGTTTTTGCCCAACTCCAACAACACATTGTGCATATGTCATTATGGCACTGAATACATTCTATCCTAACAGTTCCTTTCTCTCTCTCTCTCCTTATTACACTAGAGGCTTTGAGAAAGCAGACCATTCACTTTTTTTTTTTTTTTTTTTGAGACAGAGTCTTGCTCTGTCATGCAGGCTGGAGTAGAACCGCACGAACTAGGCTCATTGCAACGTCCACCTCCCAGGCTCAAGTGATACTCCTGCCTCATCCTCTCAAGTAGCTGAGACTACAGGCGTGTGCCACCATGCCCGGCCTCATCCTCACTTTCTTTTCT